CCATCTGGTCCTTGGCTTTTTTTTGTTGGAAGGTTTTTAATTGCTGTTTTAATTTCATTGTTTGATTATAAGTCTATTTAGGTTTTCTCTATCTTCCTGGTTCAATTTAGCCAGGTCATATGTGTCTAGAAATTTGTCTATGTCTTCTAGATTTTCTAGTTTATTGGAGTATAATTTTTAAAAATAGTTTCTAATGATCCTCGGGATTTCAGAAGTGTCTGTGGTGATATTTTCTTTTCTAATCTTTATTTGGGTCTTTTTTCTCTTTTGGTTAGTTTGGCTAAGGGCTTTTCAGTCATACTTATCTTTACCAAAAAAAAAAAAAAAAAAAAAAAAAACAATTCTTTGTGGTATTGATTGATTCTGTGTATTATTGTTTGGTACTCAAATGAGACAAAGATGCATGAAGGAAATAAAATTACACAACAATATCCCTGAAGGACATAGATGCAAAAATCCTTAATATTAGCACACCAAATTTAAAAACACACCAAGAAGATAATACACCATAATTAAGTGGGCTTCATCCCAGGAATGCAAGATTGGTTCAACATACATAAATCAATGAATGTAATTTACTACTTACATAGAATTAAAAACACATACTTACAGCCATCTGATACTTGACAAAAGTACCAAAAAATACATATGAGAATCATATGATCATCTGCATCAATTGATGCAGAAAAGGCCTTTGATAAAATACAGAACCCATTCATGTTAAAAAAAAAAAAAAAACACTGGAGAAACTGGCATTGAAGGAACTTATCTCAACATTTTAAAGGTTGTACATGACAAACCCAAAGCCAGTATCATACTAAACTAAGAAAAAACTTAAAGCTTTCCCTTTAAAGTCAGGATCAAGGGGCTGGGGATGTGGCTCAAGCGGTAGCGCGCTCGCCTGGCATGCGTGCGGCCCGGGTTCGATCCTCAGCACCACATACAAACAAAGATGTTGTGTCCACCGATAACTAAAAAATAAATATTAAAAAGTTCTCTCTCTCTCTCTCTCTCTCTCTCTCTCCCTCTCTCTCTCTCTTTAAAAAAAAATAAAAAATAAAGTCAGGATCAAGACAAGGATGTCTACTTTCATCACTTCTATTCAATATAATTCTTGAAACTCTAGCCAGAGCAATCAGGAAATAGAAGGAAATTAAAGGGATATAGATAAAATAGAAAAAGAAGAAATCCCAACTGTCTCTGTTTGCTTATGTCATGGATATCTAGAAAACCCCAAGAATTCCACCAGAAGACTTCTAGAACTGATAAATGAATTCAGCGAGTAGCAGGATACATGATCAACATTCAAATCAATAGCATTCTTATATTATGACAGCAACTTAGCTGAGAAAGAAATCAGGAAAACCATCCCTTTTGCAATAACCTATAAAAAATAAAATATTGGGAATTAATCTAACCAAGGAGGTGAAATATTTCTACAATGAATACTATAGAACACTGAAGAAAGAAATTAAAGAAGACCTCAGAAGATGGGAAGATCTCCCATGTTCTTGGATAGGCAGAATTAATATTGTCACAGTGGCCATACTATCAAAAGCAATGTACATATTCAGTGCAATCCCCATCAAAATACTGATAACATTCCTTGCAAAACTAGAAAAAATAGTCCTTAAATTTATTTGGAAGAATAAGAGACCCAGAATAACCAAAGTAATTCTGAGCAAGAAGAGTGATGCAGGTGGTATCATGATACCTGATCTTAAGCTATACTACAGAGCTGTAAAAGCAAACCAGCATGGCATTGGCATCAAAATATAAATTAAGACCACTGGAATAGAAGACAGAGAGAAATGCACATACTTACAGTCATCTGATACTTGACAAAAGTACCAAAAATACACGTTGGAGAAAAGACTGGCATTTTAACAGATGGTACTCAAAAAATTGGATATATCTGCATATATAAATATATGTGGAAGAACGAAATTATATCCCTATCTCTTACCCTGCATGAAAGTCAAATCAAAATGGATCAAAGACTTGTACATTAGACCAGAAACTTTGCAACTGCTAGAAGAAAACATAGGGTCAACATTCCATCATATATGTGCAGCCACCAATATCCTCAACAAGACTCTTGAAACAAAACCAAGAATATGTGGCATGCCATCAAATTAAAAACATTTCTGCAGAGCAAAGGATTGAGCTTGAAGAGAGAGCCTACAGAATGGGGAGAAAAAGACTTTGCCACTTGTTCTTCTGACAGGGAATTAATATTCAGAACATATTAAGATCTCAGGAAACTTAACACCAAAAACCCAAATGACCCAATCAGTAAATGAACAAAAGAAGAAACAAAACAGCCAACAAGTATATGGAAAAATGTTCAACATTTTTAGCAATCAAATGCTAATCAAAACTACACAAAGATTTCATCTCACATCAGTCAGAATGGCAATTATCAAGAATACAAATAACAAACGCTGGTGAGGACGTGGGGAAAAGATACACCCATACATTGTTGGTGGAACTGTAAATTAGTACAACTATGGAAAGCAGTGTGAATATTCCTCAAAAAACTTGGAATGGAACCACCATATGACCTAGCTATCCCATTTCTTGGTATTTATCTAAAAGAACTAAAATCAACATACTGTAGTGATATAGCCACTTCCATGTTTATAGCAGCACAATTCACAAGAGCCAATTTATAGAATCAGTCCAGATGTCTATGAATAGATGAATGGATGGAGAAAATGTGTTACATATATACAGTGAAGTTTTACTAGCCATAAGAAGAATGAAATAATAGCATTTGCCAGTAAATAGATAGAAATGGAGAACATCACACTTTGCAAAATTAGCAAGACTCAGAAAATCAAGGGTCAAATGTTTCTCTTGTGGAAGCTAGAGAAAAATAAGGGAAAGAAGGAGCTGGAGGTGAGGCTTGGATATCAATTATGTAGGAAAGATCAAGAAGGTAGAGAATGAGAGGGAAGAAGAATGAGAAAGGGGAGGAAATATGGAATGAATTTAATAAAATTATGTTATATGCATATATAAATGTACCAGAGGGAATTTTACTTTTCTACATATATATGTAGAAAGTACCAATCAAAAATAAAGGAGCAAAAAAGAAAAGAAAAAAGAATCCAGCTTGCCTTCTACTAGCAGTGTTGACTAACTTTGCTCTTTGCTACAGTGGTTCAGCCTTGTGCTCAGCCATCCTACTTTCAAGTCACATATAATTAAGCTAGGCCACCAGTCTTTGACACTGATTAGTCAATACTTCCTGAAAAAGGGTGGTAATTTTGGTATCTTGCCTAAAGACTTTTTGGTAAAAATAATCTCTTTCCATCTCAGAACTGATAGATTAACAAAGTATATGGCTGGCTAAGGCACTGTGGATAGGAAAGGAAGGTAAAACTATATCAGAAACATACATCAGGATGAATGGATAAGAAGCCCTTTTATATAATCAACTTGCCACCAAGTGGATGGTTGATCTCATTGAGGGATAGTGCCCCTTACAGGGCTCATGTTGGTATCTCTTGCTAGCATTTCCAACATTGATCAGCAGCAGTATTAGCTTACCCTTAGTGAGAAGGAACCCATGCTGTTGGGCCAAACAGTGCAAAGTCCCCATCTCAGTCACTTTGGTTACTCTGTTCATCAGCTCACTGTTGGCTGACCAAGGACAGAGTTAGAAAATATCTCTTGGCCAAATATTTGGCCCATTTAGTTTAATACCTCATCTGTGGTGATGCTTTCTGGTAAGGATTATTGTGTAATATATAATACACAAGAAATTTCACCTTTATATCCACTTTGGTAGGACCTGCCACATTCCTCTTCCCCAGAGCTCTTTGCCCTCAGTTATCAGCTCTGTACAGATTTCTGCCCCCAGTAACATGATAGGCAGAAGATTGTAAAACTCTCTTAATATTTTCCCATATTTCTACATGTGGTACCCAGGAAACTGTTCACATCTGTCCTTTCTGAAAAATCAAAATAGATAGGATAGGAATCTATTAGGGAAAGTAGAATTTAGAAAAGAAATTTCTTGATTTTGTGAGGTAAACGTTGATGAGAGAGAGATAGGAGGGATGATGGGAAAACAAGATTATTAAGCCAAAGGAGAGAAGAAGAGTGGTAGAAAAGGCAATAAGGTTGAAAACCAGAGCAATTGGGAGATTATTACAGAGTAGAACAGTTCTGGAAACTAAGACCTCAGTCCAGACACTCTACTTCTGAGCTGAAGCTTTTACAAAAAGGTTTTTAACATTTATTTCACACTAGGAAATTAGGGTAACTCTGGTTGGCAGATATAAATTATGCATTTTAGTTGTGCAGTTCTCCAACAATTTATAATTATGTGTGTATGTATAATATATATATATATATAGTTATTGATGTGAATCAAAATAATGTATCCCATTTTGTCCTTTTATGAAAGAGGAACCTTAAACTTTTCTTTCTATATAAAGAACGTTTCTCTCTTGTTCTCTAGTTTTCACCAGCATGTAAAAATGGACTTAAATTATATAGGATATAGTATTTAAGTGTCTTTACATGTACCTCTTTTGTTACAATGGTAGTAATAGTATGACTACCTCCTATTGTTAATACAAATAATTTTTCAGCATGTCTGGCCTTTGGAGTCATTTTATCTGAATTCTAATTTTAGCTCTATCATTGATGAGCTTTATGTCTCTGAGCCAGTTATATAAACTCTAAAAGACACAGTTTTCTAAACAGTAAAGTGGAAACAAACATTAGGCATCTCAAGTATTGTAATAAGGATTCAGTGAAATAATCTAGGGAAGGAACTTATTATAATACATGTGATATATAATACATATATAATACAAGTGTTAGAGCTCAACAAATATTTTGATTATTTTATTGCTATTACTGGAATTATAAGATCACAGAATATTAGGTATAGAAGGCATTCATTGGTGAAGAATTTGGTTGTCATTTCTATTGTTGGATCTTAGGATATGAGTACATATAAAATTTACTATTTATACTTTCAGGAATCCTTAAATATATTACTTAAACAACTAGAAAAAGAAAAAAGAAGTCTTGAAAATCAAGTGAAAGACTATGCACTTAAACTGGAACAAGAATCAAAGGTTTGTTTTTATTCTACTAAACAATTCATTTGAAGCTGCCTTTATTTCTAGGGTTATCTACAAACCTACTATATCATTTTCATAAAATGGTACAAAACCATTTCCTACAGTTTTAACAGAAAACCAGGAGATATGAACCCTAACTTGGCAATTTTCTTGCTAATCTTCTCTTATGTTGGATTCTTTACATTTGTATATTCTACATAGGCTTACCACAAGATCAACAATGAACGCTGTAAATACATATCTGAAATGTCTCAGGTAATTTTTTTCTTTTACTTTCAAATTCTAAGGCTTTCCCTTCTCCTAAGTTATGTATTTTATTTTTCTATAATTTGTGTGTGTGTTTGGTTAGATAAACAGTTGTTGAAATTATGGGGAAATGTTACCGAGTTTCTAAATATGGAAGATGGAAAGGGAAATACATAATTTATAAAGAGAGAAAACAGTCTCCCTAATTAAGAGATTATCTTGCATATCTGCTTCCTTAGTTATCCTTTTAGTTTGATCCATGATCACTAGAATTCAAACAGATAAGCTACTGTCCTTTAGCTATCACTTCATAATTGTAGACACAGTATTGCTATTCATAGAAATATAAGACAGGAAAATTATCAATACATTATCTTGCACATATTTTCAGCTTTTCATTTGTCTTTCAGTTTTATTTATGATATTGTTGGAATTTTAGAGCATTTTTATATTGCCAGAGCTCTTTTATTTATGGTTTCTTATGTCATAGTTTAAAAGATAATCTTCAACTCAATTTTCATAATGTTTACAGCATCATTTAATACTTACATGGCTTATTATTTAATATTTAAATATTTAAGCTATATTACCTTTATTTTGGCATATATTTTAAGATTAGGATATGAGTTCAGTTTTAAAAGTATGTTATCCAAACAGAAGAGTCCAAAGAGTAATTGGATATGGGAATCTCAGGAAAATGTTAAACTTTAGAGATAGATTTGGAAATTACTATCATATAGATAGTAAGAGAAGTCATGCGAATGAATGAAATACATCAGGGAGGATAAGTAAGGTTAAAAGAAAAGATAGGCTATAATTCTGAAGACAGTGATAGTTATGGGAGTAACAAAAATGGTTGGGATCCTCAAAGCACAGCAGTTAGACAATGAGGTAGAGTACCTTGAGGGTGAGCTTGATCCAAAAGGTAACCTGCTCATCAAATCTAGATTATCTAGAGGGATCAAGAAAGGATTCAGAGGAAGAGATTTAGGTTTGGGAATTGGAGCCAAAAATGGGATGAATAGTAAAATATGAGAATAAAAGTCAGCAAAATGGTGGGTAAAAGGAAACTTGGACTTATAGTGTTCACCAAGCTTAAGCAGGAAATGGAGCTAAGGTAGAATCAGTGCTTGTAGTCTCTCATCCATAAAATGGACAATCAACTTAAACTTCATGGATCTTGACAATGGGTTGGAAGCACTGCTTCCTCCAAAGGTACGGGTACCCATGTGCCTTTCATCTGACGCTATACCCTGCATGGAATATTCTTTTTCTCTTACATGCTAATTCCATCTCCTTCAAGGTATAGCACAAACACCACCTCCTTCATGAGGCCTCCACATGATGAAAAGACCACAGATAGTGGAGCCATTGCAAATTTGGGTTTGAATCCCAGCTCTGCACTTAACTGCTGTATGACCACTTCTTTCCTCACCTGTAGAAAGGGAGAATCTTTATGATGTCAGTATCAGTCTCAGGGTTCTGTGAGTGCTTAGAGACATGGTATATATGAAGTGCTAAGTATAGTACCTGGCACATTATAGGTTCTAGATTTCAATTAATGGTGAATATTATTTTCCTGTTTTTTTCTTTCTTGAACACACTAGTCCATATGTATATTCTACATATTGTGTAGTGACAGCACCATCAGAATTTCAAATTGCTTTCTAGATCCTTGACCGATCTTCACTTAGCTATAGGTTCCTGAAGTCAGTCAGAGTGCCTCATTATTGCTGTTACTTTACACTGAGCAAAAAGAGTGGCAAATAGTCAATGTTCAAAATGATTTGCCAAACTGAACATAGTACAAAATTTATGAATAAAAATTATGGAGATAATGAAAAGTTCAAATCCTTACACAAAAGGTGGTATGTAAAACACTGAAGGTTTTTTTTAAAAGGTTAAAATTAAAGTCTTTTGCCCATGAAGCATTCATTTGCCTTTGTTTATCTTAAAAAAAAATCATTTAGGTGGAATAAGCCTACTCTGACTGTACAAGATCACTGAATGTACAATCAAAGCCTATTTTAACAGCTTCCAGGGAAGGTGTTAATCCTGTCTCCAGTATAATGTTAATAAGGATTTTCACTCAACTGAATTGTTAATCTTTATAGTCAAAGATGGTTCTGACCATGAGGATACTGCAGTGACTGGAAAGGTTAATGGATGATTTGCAGTTCTTTCCATGCTGAATACATAAATAATTGATTCTTTGGTAGATAACTAGAGCTATTTGCTGAATCTGCTTTTTATACTTCTGCAACTATATCTGAGGCTTTGTCTCACTCTCAAACCACTGTTTTGACTGAAACTGAATTGCCCCATCTCAGAATTATTCTAATTTGCACAATGTATGCACAGTATAGGTATTACTTTTTTTAGAGAGAGAGAGAGATTTTTTTTTTAAAGAGAGAGAGAGAGAAAGAGAGAGAATTTTTTAATATTTAGTTTTCGGTGGACACAACATTTTTGTTTGTATATGGTGCTGAGGATTGAACCCGGGCGGCACGCATGCCAGACGAGCGCGCTACCGCTTGAGCCACATCCCTGGCCCCGAGAGAGATTTTTTTTTAATATTTATTTTTCAGTTTTCAGTGGACACAACATCTTTATTTTATTTTTATGTGGTGCTGAGGATCGAACCCAGCACCCCGCGCATGCTAGGCGAGCGCGTTACCGCTTGAGCCACATCCCTAGCCCATAGGTATTACTTTTTAAGAATACACAGGTACATTGCATCTCTGAAAAATCAAGTGGTAAAACTGACTACAGCTTGTTGCAATACCTGATAAATTTAAATTTAAGTTTCCCATAAACTGAATTTTGCAGTGGGTCTGAGTGATTATTGAATATATTGATTTTGGTTTACTCACAGGGAATCTGAGGTGGTTCTAAATTCATCATCAGGCAGTTCTAACTCATAGACTTGTTCTTAAAACACATGAGATAGTACTTCTTATTCTCCTTCCCTGAAACTTCCTTAAAATTCACTGATTTTTCATCCTCTGAACAATACAGAACAAGTCCACACTCCAAAGTGATGGCTTTTCAAAGATTTAGAAACAATTCTTCATTTTCCTATAGATTTTGTTTGTTTCTTTGTTTGATTTGTTTTGCTTTTGAACTAAATATTGTTATCTTAGTTATCTCTCATGACATAGGTTCCAGACTGTCCCTGCATTTCCGTTGCCTTTTGGGAAAACTCTATTTTGTTATTGTTCATTTTAAAATCAAGCAAAGTCTTGTCTCTGTCACACCCATTTTTCTTCTCTGTTGCCTAAGTGATCAATCTAAAATACAGTTATCATGGCATAATTTCCTTTTATAATACTTTCTGTTTGCTTTGCCCAAAAGATCATAGCAGAGCTCCTTGGTGTTGTCAACAAAGTCCTCTCCCAACATGGCAGTGCCTGTCTTAGCCTTTTCCCTGCTAACATCTGTGCTGCATCTAGACCAAATGCTATTTGCAATTCCTGCATCTATCATGCTGCTTTTTAGCTGAGGTTCTTGCTGTTCCTTCTAGGTAGAATATCCTTTCTCTAGTTCTTAACTGGTTACTATTCTACATGTGTCCCCTATAGCCTGAGTTAATTGCATCTCACAAGCTGTAAGCTCACAAAGCACACATGCAAACCTTTAATCAAGGACCTTAATTGTAATCTTCTATTTGTTTTGCTATTTCCTCAATAGAAATGTGACTTATTTGTCTTTGTTCCTGGTCCATAATGTGGTGGTGACACATGGTAGATGCTCAATACATTTGCTACATGAATAAAGGAATGAATGAATTCCAGTACAACACACTCAAACCTGTCACTCTTAGCATATGATCTAATATCTTAGATCAAAAAAGAGAGATGGCAAGGGGGCAAGGCAGAGGGAGTTGGGGGTCTATCAGATATAAAATCTAGTTGTTTTTTTTACCTTCAGATTTATACACACCTTTATCTACCACTCATGTTTTCCCCTCTTGTCTTAAAGAAAAGGATTCCAGTCTTCTTCCCAAGTCTGTCTGCTGCCTCTAGGACTCAATTTCCTCTTATTTTCTCTTTTACTGACTATGGCTTATCCTTTGCTTGCAATATGCTCAACTCTTCCACCAAAATAACAACCAAAAAATTTTTATTTTATTCCAACTTTCCTCATAAAACTACCATCATAGATTTCTTTCTCTCAGCCAAATTTCATGAAAGAGTGGGTATACTCACAGCCTTTGCTTTGAGTATACCCCTCAATCTCTTTTCATCTCTCTTCTGATCCCAACACTATGGCCCCCGTTTATCATTTCATAGCTACATACAAAGACTCTTCTTCAAACCTGAGGTATTAGCAGTCTCTGCACACGTCTTTGAATACATGCCCTAGCCCCAATACACACAGTTGACTTGCATGACATTTTTTTTTTCTTGGGTTTTCCTGATGTTTAAATGATGGCCATATCTTCAATGAGTCTCCCATCCCCTAAAAGTTGCTTTCAGCTTTATATTATTGTGTCTTTTACTTCTCTGTATAACTCTTACTGTATAATCTCATTTTTTTAGTGACTTCAATTGCCATCTCTAAGTTTATCAATTTCAGTTGTTCCTGAATGGAAGATTATATTTACAACCATTCACAGAAAGTCACCACTTTTGTATAATGGATGAATTTCAAAATAGACAGAAATGAATATATTAACTTGTCTTTCTGTCTCTGCTGTACTATATCTATGTTTCTATTGTCTTATCTATCATAAAGACAGAGTATATGTTTATATACTTTTACTTTTATGTTTACTTGTAATGATTTATCTATGTGGATATTTCTCTATGTGGTCTCTGGGGATGAGATAGGGGTATTTCCAGAATCTTTAGACGCTTGTTTATACTGGAAGTCAGAATTTCCCATTATTATTCAGCTTCTCTTACACATGCTACTAAAGGACCTGGTGGTAAAGGAGTTAGATAATTGACTATTTTTTCTTCCCTCTGAAATTCAGCATGAAAGAAGAGGATAAACACTCAGTTTTTTTGTATTTCAGGTCTCTGGCACACATCAAGTTTCTAAAAGGCAACAGATGGATCAACTGCCTAGAATGAAAGAGAATCTAGTGAAAACGTAAGTCTAATTATATGTTTTCTTTCTAATTAATTATATTTGCTTGTGAATGGTAATGACAAAACGGGTGTCCATTACATTTTGGAAGTGGAACTTCTAGATTTTATAGCAACAGTATAAAATAGCAGATGGTAAGAGAACTTAAAAAGTTTGTGATCTCTGTTCACTATTTTTACACTTTTTTTTTAAATTCCCAGAAACATTTTTAGCTTTTAAACATGGGAAGAACTTATTTTTTAAACTAAAACAATGCAGTATCCAATGAAAGCTTAAAACTACACCATTAGTAACAGTATAAACAGAATTGAAGTATCAGCCCTTACCTTTTTAGTGAGGAAGTATGGTCATTTGCAGTGGTCACTGAAATATAGATGCAGTTCTTAAAAATTATTTATTTATATATTTATTAAATTTTTAATTGATTTTTTTAAAATAAATGACAGCGAATGCATTACAATTCTTATTACACATACAGCACAATTTTCCATATCTCTGGTTGTATATAAAGAATGTTCACACCAATTCGTGTCTTCATAGATGTACTTTGGATAATGATGTCCATCACATTCCACCATCCTTGCTAACCCCTTGCCCCCTCCCTTCTCCTCCTACCCCTCTGCCCTATCTAGTGTTCATCTATTCCTCCCATGCTCCCCCTCCCTACCCTACTATGAATCAGCCTCCTTATATCAGAGAAAACATTCGGCATTTGTTTTTTGGGGGGATTGGCTAACTTCACTGAGGATTATCTTCTCCAATGTCATCCATTTACCTGCAAATGCCATGACTTTATTTTCTTTTATTGCTGAGTAATATTCCATTGTGTATATATGCCACATTTTTTATCCATTCATCTACTGAAGGGCATCTAGGTTGGTTCCACATTTAGCTATTGTGAATTGTGCTGCAATAAACATTGATGTGGCTGTGTCCCTGTAATATTCTGTTTTTAAGTCCTTTGAGTATAGACCGAGGACAGGGATAGCTGGGTCAAATGGTAGTTCCATTCCCAGTTTTCCAAGGAATCTCCATACTGCTTTCCATATTGGCTGCACCAATTTACAGTCCCACCAATACCAATAAACATCAAAACTATAGCAGTGCTAATGTTAAAATACTGACTTATTAAGTGTTTCTAATATCCAGAGCAAATTAGGACATTAGAAAATAACAAACTAATATGAAATTCTATTTTAAAACTCTATCAAAGAGGAATAGTGCCTGATGGAATATACTAGCTCTTATATCCCTACTGTGTGAAACCACAGCCACAAATCATTAAGATATCTTTGTTACTGTTGAAAGATTTATTCTAGAGATACTTATATATATAGATTTGAAAATAAGGCTTTTTAAAGATAAATAAGTAAGTATTCTTTTGGGGATTAGGTTTGGATGATCCCAAAATATCCTAGACAAACTAACATGTAACTTTGACTATGACCCTTGGCATGTATTTCTTCAAGTAAGCAGCATAAAACTGAAACCAAAGCAGTGGTTCTTAAAAGCAGTAAACTGTAAAGTTTATTTCTTTTCTTTAGTGTGCTACCTCATTTTTTTTCCTGCTTATGAAAATTTTTTAGAGTGATTAAAGGCCCTAGAGGAAGAAAATAACAAAGCACTCCGTAATGCCCTGGAATAAAAGAACTTAAGGGAAATTAATTTTAGGATTCATTAAGAGAAAGATTATTAAAGAAATGTCCTTTTGAGAAGGAAAACAGCTACAGTTAAGAAAACTAACATATCCAACATTAAGGGAATAATTTTTTTAAAAAAACTATGGTATTATATAAAGCTGAAAAATTAGATTCTAGAATATGTAACTGTCAAAGAAAATGCTAACATATAATAGTAAATAAAAATTATAATACACAATAGTATAATGGGATTATGGATGATTTGTATTTATACTCCTAGTATTCTCAATATGACTAGGGATCCTTTATAATTATTTAAAATTATCTTAAAAGAGAAAAATTGAGAGAAAATATATCTACAAGATATCTTACGGAAGTCCCCAAACCAAAATAACAGTGAAAATATTTATGTAACTAATACTATATGATATTTTTTAAAAAGTGAAAATGCAAGGTGGTAATTGAAAATTTGCACTGCTTTTGGAGCAGATAGAAAAATCGACTTTTGCCTCCAACTTTTGTTGATCATGGTTGATACCATATTATGACTAGTGTGCTCACATATTTATATATAACTGAAACAATTTATGAAACAATACAGCTCAATGATTTTTAGTATATTTACAAAGTTGTGCAACTGTCATCATTAACTACTTTTAGAACATTTTCATCTCCCAAAAGGAATATTTATCCATCCATCCCACAAACCTTTCTTAATTAATAGTCTTCTTTGCTTCTATGGATTTTTCTATTCTTGTTATGTCATATAAATGAAAGCATGGAACATGTGGCTTGTGTGTTTAATGGTATGTCACTTAGAATAATTGCTTATAGATTCATCTACATTGTAGGATGTATCAGTATTTTATTCTTTTTTGTGATTGAATAATATTCCAGGTATCGGCATATCACATTTTGTTTATCCTTCATCAGTTAATGGACATTTGGGTTATTTACACCTTTTCAGCATTATGAATAATGCTGCAGTGAATTTTCTGCAGAAGTTTTGTATGTATATGTTTATCCTGGGTATATGCCTAGGAATGCAATTGCTAAATCAACTCCAGTCTGTTTATCTTTTTAAGGGACTGCTAAACTGTTTTCTAGAGTAACTATACTGTTTATATTCCCATGTAATCTGAATGTATTTTAGGGTTCCAGTTTCTCCACATTCTTACTAACACTTGCCATTTAAAAAAACTCTTTTTTAAAAAAAATTTTTTTATTGGTTGCTCAAAACATTACAAAAAATTTTTAACTCTCCTATATGTGAAGTAATATCTTATGATTTTGATTTGTATTTCCTTTTTACATTGGATATCTTTTATTTATTTTTCTTGCTTAATTGACCAGGCTAGTACCTCCCATACAATATTGAATAGAAGCAGTAATAGTAAATATCTTTAAATTGTTCCTGGTCTTAAAGGGAAAGTTTTAAATCTTTAAAAATTATATTGGTCATAGATTTCTGTCAGTAGATGCCATTTTCAAGCTTAGTGCTTATAAGAAAATTTATACTTATAAATGTCTGTATTGGAAAAAAAATGTCGAAAAGAACAGACCAGGTCAACTCAAACTAAAAAGTTTTTTCTCAGCAAAAGAAACAATAAGAGGGGTAAATAGGGAGCCTACACCCTGGGAACAAATCTTTACTCCTCACA